CACCCACACTTACACACTCCCACACCATCCACACCTACACCCACACCCGCGCCCACGTCCACACCCCAATCCAGAGGTGGAACCGATCTAATTTTTTTCAGACCGGTACCGGTACTGGTCCGAAACTTTTAGACCGGACTGGACCGGCCGGTATACCGGTTTGACCGGTCTACCGATAAAAACCGGTGTGACCGGTCTAGACCGATCTGATCGGTCTTACGGGTCCAAATCGATCAAAGCCGGTGTGTGTTTCAAAAAATTGTGTATTTCATTTTTTTCACCAAAGAGAAGGATTTTTACGAAAAAACTGATTTTTTTATAAAGTTTGACCAAAAGTAATCGAGGTCGAGGAGTTCGAATCTGCTATCAGTTTTTCGAACCTCTGATTTTAATTCTTTTCAGAAAAATGTGTTTACTAAAAAATTCGTATTTTGCTAAAAAATTTTTTTTTGTAAAAAAAACCATTTTTGTACTAAAAAGTATTTTATTGCCAGAAAACATTTTTTTTACCTAAAAAGTCAATTTTGTGGCAAAAAACTATTGTTTTGTTAGAAAAACCATTTTTCTGCTAAAAATCAGTACTTTTGTTAAAAAAGTATTTTTTAGCAGAATATGACTTTTTCTTGTATAAGAAAGTTTTTTCAAAAAAAATTAAACTCAAAATTTTGAAAAACCGATAACAGATTCGAATTCCTCCATCACAAAGACAGTTAGTCAAGTTCAAAAAAAACTCGTTATTTTTGAGAAAAAATCCTTTTCCTAATGGAAAAAAATTAAACTCAAAATTCCGAAAAACCAATTACAGATTCAAACTCCTCGACTTCGATTACTTCTGGTCAAACTTTATAAGAGATCAGTTTTTTCCTAAAAAACTCTTTCTTTGGTGGAAAAAGTGAAATACATAATTTTTAGAAACACAGACCAGTTTCGACCGATTTGGACCCGTAAGAGCAGTCTAGGCCGGTTTCGACCGGTCAGATCGGTCTAGGCTGGTTTAGATCGGTCAGACCGGTTTGGACCGGTCACACCGGCTTCGATCGGTCGACCGGCCGAACCGGAATCTAGACTGGTACCGGACCGGACCGGCCGGTAACCGGTACCGGTTCCATCTCTGCCCCAATCTGCACCCACATCCACACCCCATACCCAGTCGAGAGGGAAACAACTGAGACGTCAGCCTTGAAATTTCATGAAGTCGTAGAAGTCTTGGGGGTGGACGGGAGCTGTGGGTATCGGGTGTGGGATGTCGTTGTGTGGGTGTGAGTGAAGGTGCGGGTGTTACTTTTCAACAACCGACACTCATATACACACCCACGCCCACACCCATCCGCTACCCACACCCACAGCGACACTCATGCCCACACCTGCACCCATACCTTCGCCCGCCTCACACTCACACGTACACTCACATTCATACCCATCCACACCTACAGTCACACCCCACCCAGTCCTACACCCACCCTCACACCCCGCACCCTCGCTTTTGTGTTTTAGGACACTAAAGATGCTAGGAATAAGTTTCATAGAGAGCTAAGATGGCACGCAGATTGTTGAAATCAAGCTTGCTGACCAAGAGAAGCAATTAAAGTTTATTGTTCGATTAAAAGCATATGTTATGGATCAAATCATTTTCGCTGACCATTTAACTGCATTATTCATCATAGTTACGACATTGGCATCGTTTCCCCAGTTGAATACAGTTTCACCGCTACTATAATGAGCACCATGAGCAATCTGTACTATACGACCAGTAGACGCAACACTAGGACGAACGATGACTGCAGGTCCACCACATGATCTACAATCTGCTATTATTATGCTTTCATTTTTCGGTGTATCCAATACACTGTAGCCAAATGCAACCGACGTATTGAAAGATATTGCTAAGCCGTTCCAAATTGGGTGATTGATACTAACCAAATCAAAGGACATGCTTGCAGTCATGCCTGTTTTTCTTGCAGCCAACAAAAGTGGAGATAGTAGTGACCATCTTCCACCTAAAACATGATATGCTGCCCATTCGGTCATTACTATGCCAGTGCCATTATTTTGTTGAGCATTCCGAATAGACTCTTGCCCACTACTTGGCATATCTGCTAAATAATCATTGCCAGTTATTAAAATTACTGCATCGTAATTAGCGGCATTTGGTGACCCGGTATAATTTGAAATACCACCAGAGATGTAGTTGACTGTTAAACCAACGGATTGTAAATTACTAACTAACCTTTGAACAGCTACGGTGTTTGTGTCACTAAGTAACAGTGCTGTTCGATTTGACTGACTGCAATCTACGAATATATGTGAAAACGTTAAGAGTTAGATGGCCCTAGAAATGTGGTTTTCGTATAGGGAATTTCGACTTTAGAGTGAGTTTTTCTATACTCTAAAAAGCCATGAATTGAAAGAGGTAAAAATCTACATTTTTATCTCCTCAACATATTTTTCTAAAATTCCAATTTCTTGTATGTTCAACAGGTAGTATTCGATTTCAGAAACCTAGAAAAACCAATCGATATTTTGTCCAGCTAATCATTTATTTATCATTCTTGTTGACGCTTAGTCGATCAAATTGTCGACAAAGACTAATAAATTTTTTTATTTCAATGCACCTGTTCGGAGAATACACCCTATTTCCTGATGTTGAACATTGCGGAACCAGTTCCACCCCCGGAATCAGTTCCATGCAATTCCGGAAACTCTAACATCATTCAACAAATTGGACATTTTCGACAAGGATCGCGTTCCCTCAATTCCCGGAATTCTGGGAATCAAGTCCATTCTAAACTAGTCGTGATTCCTAGGAATTCCGTCTGATTCCGTAGCGATCCAAGCTTTGCAATTCCGGAATTTCTAGCAATTCCCAAGAATTCCGAAATTTTAGGAACGGGTTCTAGATCGGAATTAGTTCCCAAACTCTCGGAATGCCATAACGTAGATTGCTACGGAATCAAAGGGAATTAGACGGAATCCCTATAAATCACGACTAGTTTAGAATGGACTCAATTCCCGGAATTTCGAGAATTGCGAGAACACGATCCTTGTCGAATAAGTGTCATTTGTTGGATGATTTTCGAGTTCCCAGAATTGCATGAAACTGATTCCGGTGGCGGAACTGATTCTGCAATGTTCAACATCGCGAAATAGGATGACTGCTCCCTGTTCGTAGGACTGCCAGGATTAGTATCGCCGAAAGTAGTGGTCAGGAGAGCGAATGCTCCTGAATTATAGAAAAATTTTCACTATTTATTGACCGCTGTAATTGAGGAGCAAGCCTGATCAGTTCTGAATCAATAAGATGTCGGCGAATAAGATGTTAGGGTGTCCGTGTGGACAGAAGACGTTTTCTTCGTTTTCATATCCACACATACACTCACCGAGTAGTCAAAAAGAGCTCATATTTTGGCCTTAGACTTCTAATCATGGGCTATCGTGTGGAATGATGAAATCCAAAATTCATATTTTAGCAGTGACCTGCTTGGTAGCTGCTATAGCGAACTGATTCTTAAGTAATTTCAAAGTACTCTGACATGTGATTGCAGTCGTGGTTCTTGTCGCTTACTTCGGCACAGAGAGATTGTAGAAATTGTCATTGTTGAGCTTGTCAATGTTGCCGAAACTGTGGTTACTCTTGATGTTGTGGACACTGTAGCTGTCGTCGATGCTATAGCTGTTGAAGCTATAAAAAAAAAGAAAATCGAATACCATGAGTGAAGGCATCACCAATACGAGTTGGAGCAAGTTGAAGGCTGGAAAGTCAAACATTAAATGCTTTATACAGAAGTTTCTGCATGGAAACTCTTGGCACAAGGAATGATCAGCAAGAGGAGCCTCAGCAGAAGAATGCTGTTGACGGGAAGCAAAGAGCCACAATTATTAGTCTTATACAAGGTTACCACTTATATGTGCTCCTTTGAGCAATAACTAATTTTTTTTTGCAAAGATATGTATAGTACTGCAAATATGCGATTGAAACATTGGTAGTAAAAACTCCAGGTGTAGTAATTACGCCTTCCAACTCGGCTTATTCTCGAGGTTGAGATGGACGAGTGGGTGTGAGTCATTTTTTCATTCACGCCTATTCTTTCGTTCTAATGACTTATGAAAGTGTCTGTAGGAAAAAAACTGACTTGCACTCTAGTCGACAATATACCAAAGCCACTAAGTAGTTAGAGAAAATTCGTCGAGAATGCTTTTTTTGATTTGTCTTTCGATAACTCATTTCATCGAGAGACACTTGTTGAATTGAGCGTGCTAATCATATTTTACTTTACCCAACAAGTGAGTATAATATCAAATGTACTTAAGTAAAAACACGTGAAACACTGAATAGCAAAGGATGGGCTCTAGATTTTGTTTATGAGAATTTTATTGCGAAAACTTACTAGTTATGGCGTACGATTGGTTCGAAGCCAATAGAGGGCATCGTTGTAGAGAGGCACGCTCAATTGGATAACAAACAGGAACGTTACATCGCGTGTTACTGACACATACTGTATTGGGTGCGGAGCATGTCTTATTATCATTTTCACACAGAGTCAAAGCACGACAAGATATGACAGTATCGGCACACATTCCGCCTGAAGTCATCGTCATAAACAAGCATTCACAGTCAGGATTTGCCGAACATGGTACTGGTTTTGCTTGACATTCTTGCAATGGACAGCATCCACAAGTAGGTGCTCTAGAATTCATTGTGTCTTGACCTAAAACATTTTTTTCATAGCAAGCGAAAGTTGTATAAAATTACTGAAAGTCGTTGTTAGAAACATGTAATTTCAACTTATGCAGTTTTTCAGAAAAATGACTTACAAGCGAACCTTTCCAGGTGCCAAAACGCTTTTCAGTCGGAGTTTCGTGTATCTTGTAGCCCTTAGTGAGCTGTGTCTATGGTTAAAAAAGTTCGAGTTTCTGGCTTGTTTCTGAGGAGATAAAACGTTTTTACTATTATATCTATAAGGGTAGTCTTATCAGGAAAAAGTATTATGTCAACGAATATAAGTTGAAATGAGCTGAGATTTTTCTCACATATAGTTGTACTCATGTGGAAGATAATGTGAAAGTCTGAGCTCAAAAAACCTTGAGAAGATAGAGTTATCAGTTTCACAACATATTAACACAACTATATGTGAGAAATATCTCAGCTCATTTCAACTTATATTCGTTGACATAATACTTTTTCCTGGTAAGATTACCCTTATAGATATAATAGTAAAAACGTTTTATCTCCTCAGAAACAAGCCAGAAACCCGAACTTTTTTAACCATAGACACAGCTCACTAAGGGCTACAAGATACACGAAATCCAGACTGAAAAGCGCTCTGGTACCTGGGAAGGTTCTCTTCTTACGAGGGAACCGTTCCAACTGATCCACGCCGATTTTGCTCATATTTTGCCCATATGTAAAGGTCATTATGCTAAGAAAAAGCCTAAGAGGGCTTGTGCCCATGGTGCTTCTTTCGAAAGTTATGACTATTTTACTGATTTTTCGGCTTTTGGCAAGGTATTTACAAAAAAATCGAATGACGAAATTTTGCCCATATGTAGGTCTCATGATTCTTAATATATGCTAAAAGTTTCAGCAAAAATGAATGTTTCATTTCTGAGATAATGAATTTGCAATAAATATTTGTATTTTATAGAGGGCTCAGAAAAATCGAGTTTTCCTGGAGATTAATTATCTTGAAAATAGAACATTCATTTTTGCTGAAACTTTTAGCATATACTAAGGACCACGAGACCTACATATGGGCCAAATATCAGGTCAAAATTTCGTCATTCGATTTTTTTGTAAATACCTTGCCATAAGCCGAAAAATCAGTAAAATAGTCATAACTTTCGGAAGAAGCACCATGGGCACAAGTCCTCTTAGGCTTTTTCTTAGCATAATGACCTCTACATATGGGCAAAATATGAGCAAAATCGGCGTGGATCAGTTGGGACGGTTCCCTCGTTAGTTAGGAGAGGACTCAAGAGAGAATCGCATATTTTTACACAGGTGCATATTCTACAAAAGTCGCTCAAGTTCTATTTTTGTTATTCAAAACGAGAGCACCTGTTGTTTAGACACTAATGAATACCAATTTTTAGCTCACTCAATTGAAACTAGCAGAACTTCTTCGAGAATGTCTGAGCAGAGTGTCAAGATGGGGGAGATTGGGTAAGTACATTGACAAGAGTCTTTTCAATGACCTCGTGATGCTTGGAGAGTAACTGATGGTATGCAGAGTCATATCATCAGGCACTAAAATGAGTCTGTATAACGTTCGATATACTGAGGAACTCAAACTAAGATAGAAGAAATAGTGGTACTTGAAAAACTTCTAAAAAATGATACATCCAAATAGGCGTAGCCGAATTATGTGAAATTTAAGGAGATGCAGGACATGGTACATCTTTCATATTTGTGAGATATAGTTATTTTTATTTATCATATTATAAGGACGAAAAAATACGTGTTTCAAACGAAAAATCCGTTAGTTTGTCCTCATTGGATACTCATTAATTATACTTTTAACAACTGACATGACATATTTGGTCATTTGGAGTTCTCACATGCAAATTGCGTGCAAACAAAAAACTAATCATTTGGACAATTTTATATAAATTGTTTTTATGATCGAGAGTTTTGAGTTTCGTGTATTTCAGGATATTGGTTTGAGAAAAAGCCAAACAGGCATTTCTCTAGAGCGAGTAAAACTCTATCGTTTGACATATTTGATGATTTTATGAATCGAGATCTACTCAAGAACAAAGATCGCATTTCCCAAATGAAAATGAAAGTTTTGAGTCGAAACACTTTTGCTCACTCGTTTTCTAGAAGTTCCGCTGAGCACAATCGAATGAGGTAAAAATTGAAACTCATAGTTGTGCTTTGTTTTTCGATAAGTATGTACAGGTTTGTGCGTAACCCTTTGCTACACTCTAAAAAAAATCGGTTTTTTACCGAACCCCCAAAAAAGGTTCCGGAGATGTCTAAAAGCATCCAAAGATGTCCAAAGTCTCAAAAAAAGGATAAAAAAATCTACGAAACCTTTAAAGGTTCTTACCGTGTACCGAGGATAAGAACCTTTTGCTGCGAAACCTTTTTTTAAGTTCCGTACAGCAGAAAAAGGTTTCGTAGGAAAATACGAAACCATTAGAGTTTCGTATTAAACTCTACGAAATCATGAGGGTTTAGTGCAAAATCATGAGAGTTTAGTACGAAACTATTAGGGTTTAATATGAAACTCCAAAGGTTTCGTATTTTCCTACGAAACCTTTTTCTGCTGTACGGAACTTAA